ACATTTACTTTTGAATTTTCTCGTTGTAAAGCACGTTTTGATGTTATTGTAGTATCTTGTGAATCTTCTAATAATTGTAAAGTTTTAATACGTGGATATCGTCGTTTTAAATAGCTTAGAAGATGTCTCAAGCTAGAATAAAAATATTCAAAGTCATAACATGTTATAATCGATGAACGTAATAAATTTGATTCATTTTCAACAGCTCGTGGAAAAATAGTTTCAAAAATATTATTATTATTATTATTATTATTATGTTGACTCGTTTGAAATGAAGTTTCTTGTCGAGAATGAACAGTTCGATGAAATCGAGCACGTAAACGTTTTGATTCAGGATTCGAGAGAGGAGATTGTCGACTAAAAAACAAAATTTAATTTTTCAATAATCATAAGATATTGAATTTTTTTTCAATATTGAAAAATCATACCTATTTTGACATTGATAAATAAATTCTCTATGTTTCATATCGATTTCAATATAATCAAACATACTTTTAAATTGAATATTATCACGAACAAATGGTGATGCATCGGTTTGAGTTAATAAAGATAAAACAATATCATATCGTCCACAAAAAGCAGCTAGAAATAGAATAATTTATTGATATTCTAACAATTTTCTTTTTTTCCTCACCTAAAAGTAACGGTGTAAATCCATAATTATTTCTCTCATCAATTTCAATAGCAAATTTATTAAATTTTTCAATTAATTTATTAATTATTTGTGTATCATTTCCACCATATAGAATAGCATAATGAAGAATTGTATTACCTTGTCGATCTTTTGCACGAAAATTAATATCGAAAGATATTTCATTTAATAAAAGTTCAAATAATTTATAACGTTGATAACGAAGAGAATACATAAGTACATTACAATCAAATTCATCATGTACATTTGGTGAATTAGAATAATGTGATGAAAATAATGTTCGCATTGTACGATATGCATAATTTTCATCTGGATGAGAACATAATTGAATTAATAATGGTATTGAATTGAATTTTTTTGAAGAATATGTTGATAATGATGAATGAGTAGTTTTAGAATTTGTACTAATTGACATATGTCGATTTTGTTGATAAGTATATGCCGAATGACGTAGGTATGGTAAATGTGAATTTATATCAATTGAGTTCATATTATTCACCTTTGACCTATATATATATAAGTGTGAACATTTATTTCTTGTTTTAATTCGTTATCTAATCTTTTGAAGAATTATGATAGGAATTTCTTTTTTTTTTGCTATAATTTACCTTTGTTTAAAATATGAATAGTGTTTGTTAATTGTTGCTTCTTTTTTTTTTCTAATACAAAAAAAAAATGAAAATGTTTCTTTTTTTTTCTTATTAGCTTGTTGTCGATCAAAATTGCTTTTGCATATACAAAAAAAAAAAAGAGAGAGAGAGAGAGAGAGAGTTTCAAGTGTTGATTAATTTTTTTAACATGTCAATCTATTTATATCATAGAACATTAATAATAATGTGTACACAAAATCTATTTCATTCGTTTATATAAGCAACATATGAAAATAGAAATTGAATTATTCTCAGTAGGGTATATTTTACATTAAAGAAAGAAAAAGAAAAATGCAATATTCAAATCATTTAATTTAATTGAATTTTCGTAAATTGTTTTCTACACACTTTGCTTTATTCATAAAATAAAAAAGAACATGATGAAATCAACAAGCATTAAGAGTAGGATGAGTATGGCTTCTTGACATTTCATGTTTGTTTTATTCACCTCTCGAAATAAAATTTTCAATAAAAAATTATGTTGTTTACAGCCGAAAAAAAAAAAACTTTTATTTGCTATCAAATAATATGAATCTATTTGTTCGTAATGAAAATATTGAATAAATTATTAAAAATATCCTACATCAATTCGTCAATAAACGAAAAAAAAAAGGCCAATTTTATAATGAACGTCTATTGAAAAGAGAAATCTATGAAATACTTCAAAATAAATCAATACAAAGTTTCAAAATGAGTATATATCGAATTGAATGATATGATCAAATAATCTTTTATTGAAGCTAAAACAAAAAAAAACATGTTAAAGATCAAAGATGTGATATTTTGATTAGAAAAACTTATCAATACAAATCCTTAGAGATTAAGATTTAAGACACGATAGAGTTGCTTCTATTGTAAACAAAACAAATTTTACCGATATATCGATCGGATAGTGTACTATTAAGTATTCTCAATTTAAGATCGTAAATGAAAATATATTAATTATGAAAAATGAAGATGAACTATTCTCACAATGATAAATCAAAAAGACAAATGTTTTTTCAATAATATGAAACAAAATTATGAAATATTTGAATAAAATAAAATTAGTAAATTTAGTTATTTTAAGAAAAAATTAAGTATTCAAAAACTATTTAACTTTATTAAGAATGTTTTGCTTTTTTTTTGTTTTTTTAATAAAGAAAAAAAAACCAAATAAACAGCTTGTTCATATCTAAGAGTTCGTACAATAATTTTAATAACACACATGCACACGGCAAAAGGCAAATTGATAAACAAAAGAATAAGAATAGAACGTTGGTATAAGAGTAAAAACAATATATTTACATGAGACTCTCTATATGAGAAATAAATCAAAATCCCAATAAATGAAAACAAAAACAAATCAATTTTCATTCTCAACCAACTATTTCAACATAATTTGATGGAAGTAAACCTTGTTTGCCTGTTATTGGATGACGTCCTAACATCCAACCCGCATCAATATGTTCACAATCAATTATTGTATCACCTTCCATAAAACTTATTTCATCCGATTCAGCTGCTGTATATGTATAAAGTGCACGAACTTTCATCTAAATATAACACAAAAGAATTTCTTTTTTTTGTTTTTTTTTTAATTTCAAAAATAAATAATTTACTAATGTTGTTTGTCCATCACCATGAGAATGAATTGAACTATGATGAATATTATTTCCATTATTATTATCAGATTTAGACGTAGTTATTTGATTTACTTCAAATTCTATATTAAAAAAAAAACAAAAATAGAAGAAAAAAATAAAATCATAGAAAAAAATTTATTAACGTACTGGTAGTTTGCATAGCTTTTGATGTTGGTTCATAACCACGTGATAACGAACCACGATTATCATTTATTGGATCGTAATCTGCAACTATATACAACATTACAAGGAAGCTGTTAAAGCAATTCCTATGGAATTAATATGTAAAATACGATGTAACTATTCTTGCTAATTACAAGGAGATTGTTTTATTCTCTCTATTTTAGGACACATTTTCTTCATCATCGTTTTACTCTTTACTCCAGATATGCAATAAGAAAATAGTTCATATATTATAACGAGATGTTATTGATATACGCCCTTTTATCTTATATCAACAATGTCTATCACGAACTGTAGAGAGTCCAAAATTTTATCCTTATATGTCAACACTTGTTTTAGATGATGTTTTATAAAATGTATATCTTAGTTTAAAAATAAAAACTTACCACGACCTACTCTTGGTTCTGATGAAGTATGTCCACGATTAGAACCATTATTATTAATTTGATTAGTATCTTTAAGAAAAGAAAATATTGATTTATTTTAATTAAAAGATTTGTATATAGAATAGTGTTAGATTTACCATGAGAAAGTATTTGTGATGAACTATCCTTTCGTTTGCCAGTATATTCGGCTTGACTAACAATACGTTGATGTTCTTTGGCTCGTGTTAATGCTGGATCATCAGCTACTACTGTAAATTTTCCTTTACTTTTATTAAAATCTTCATGATATTTCGCCTATAGTAATAAATATTTATTCAAATTTTTCATATTTCAAAAAAAACAAAAAAAATCTTACATTGCTTTGAATATCTGTTAATAATCGAATACGTTGCATTTCAGGATTGTCAACAACAACTGTTGGTTTTGGTTGTGGATAATGTCTGAAACAAAAACAAAAAAAATGTTTATTAACATATTAGAAATATTAATTAATTAATTATTATACATACACATGACAATAAGGCATTTTTTCGTAACCTTTTACATTTTTCACATTGAGAGTCATTCCACATACTGTACATTTTAAACATCCTTTATGCCAAAACTAGAATTAAATAAATCAATGATTAAAAACAAAATATCAAATAGAATAAAATAAGCATTAATAGCATGTGAAAGAAAATCATGCATTGCTTTCTGTAAAAAGCAAAGGAAAAAATTGTTCGGCGAAGAGAAATTCATAAATAAAGAGTTCAAACATGATTTACCTTTTTGTCTACTATGAAAATGACTGAGTTAAATCAAGAACAATGAAGAGGAAAAGAAAATAACTTACTTTATCAAGACATTTGATTTCTTCGGTTGGATAAACAATTTTTTCACATTTACCACATTTTTTATTTTGTACAACTGACATGATACTTTGATTTATGCGATGAAAAAGTATAATCTAAAATATACATAGGAAGATAGAATTTCCTTTGTTACGTCAAATCAAAAAATAGATAAAAATAAATAATAGAAAAGATCGAATTGATTGATTGATTTGTTTTTTCTTTTCTTTGCATCAATGATTGACCAATAAAAATTAATTCAAGAAAATTTTACATTTTAAATTAATAAATTCATTATAAAATTGATTTAATCAATAAAATATCTGAATATTTAATAGATATTCAATCGAATATATCAATAACATATAGCGCTTTCTAATAATTGACTAATAAATTGACCAATGATTATATCGCTTATCAAAAATGAAATTTTTTAACAATTATAAATCTTTCAAACTGATATTTCTCATCTATCGATGTGTAAATTTATGTTAGTCAATTAATTTCTTACTTATTTAATGTTAATTTTATTGATGAATATTATTATAATAATTTAAATCACAGTCAGATCACAAGAATTGAGAGGGAAGGGGTCGATTGGAATAGGCGAGCAAAAAAAAAAAGCGAAAGTTTTTCGAGACAACCCTGATCATAGTTATTTTATGTTTTAGATGTTTCTTTCAACGCCGTCTACATCATTTAATTTAACAAGTATTGAAAAAAAATTAGCCGCTATTGAAGCAACATCTGCATCATCATATACAGTAAAACCAACAACTCGATTGCCAAAAGTTAATAATGAAGCTGAATTAGATGCATATTTAAAAAGTGAACGAGCAAATTTTAATGATGAACAATTTGAATATTTAACACAACAGGTAATTTAATATATTATTATTGATTATTTCTTAAATAGATATTAATTTAAGTTAGAGATTTTTGAATTATTTTTTTTGTTTAAAAGTGATGAGTAATATGAAAGGAATGATTTATTTATGTTACATTGATAACATTTGACAGTCTATCAACACATGTCGAATATGTATTATCTTATCAATGACTACTGTCATGAACAATCATCATCTGTATTACGAAGAATTTAGTTATAATTATCTTTAAATTGAGTTCGTCATATTTCTACATATGATTTCTTATTGATTTTTGAACTTTCTTAGTGATAATAAATTTTATTTTATTAATGTTGAACTGATAATTTCAATGTTTTATGTAATGATAGATTTCGTCTGATTCATATCTCTAACTAACAGTTGCTGATTGTTGTCAGTTACATTCGTATCTCAAAGGAACAGTTGTTAGAATGAATGAAGCTTGTCATTCATTTAGTTCATTAAATGGAAATTTAATAGTATTATTATTATTATTATTATTATTAATTTTAGTCATTAACTCAAGCTGATACTGATTATTGGGAAGAAATATTTTCAGATAGTTTAAAACGTCGTCGAAATTTAATTAATTGTCTATTAGCTGATGATCTTCGACCTCGTTCAATTTCTTCCTATGATTCAACATCTACGATTAAAGTTTGTTTTATTTTCATATTTTTATTTTCATATTTTTATTCTTTAATAGACAAGTCAAATACTAAATGATTCTACAACATCTCCAACTGGTTATGATTTCAAATCGGTCAGTTATTTTTGCTTTCTACATATTGAAGTTTTTCATTCGATATAACTTTTAATTTCGAATGTGAACAAATCAGAACTTATGAAATAGCAGTCATGCATCAAGACAGAAGTGTCTCCGACAATAATGAGGATTATTCTCTATGAAACTTTTATCGTGAACTACTCAGCTTGATTTCATCTGATTGTGCGTAAACTCGATCACATCGAAAAATATTCAAGTCTCTGTTGAATTTTCAATTTTTCTGTAATGCGATCTAAAAACTACAAACGTTGTTGGTATACGATCAAAAACCATATATGAATAACGTCTCATTGTAATATATGAACTACTTCCCTATTGCATTTGTGAAGGATTAAGTAAAAAGGTGATGCAGAAATGTGTCCTAAAATAGAGAGAATAAAACAATCTCCTTGCGATTAGCAAGAATAGTTACATTGTCGTTCACATTTTAAATCCACAGAAATTGCGTCAACAGCTTTTTTGACCAAGACTTGAATTTTTTTTTTACGTTCTGATCGGTGTTTTCAGTTTAGACCTCTATCTTAGTGCATACCTGTTAAGAAGAGTATTACTTGAGATTTTAAATCGAAAAAAAAAATTTTTTTTTGTTATGATAGATGGTTAGTTCATTTTATAAATTTTGTTCTTTAATATGACATAATATAATAGGATTGGACATCTCAACAAAATCAATCATCAATATTCGCTGATTTATCACTTGTTGAACAACAATATGCTCAGACAGTAAGTTAACTAATTAATTTCATTTGAATAATTCTTTTCTATTTGTTGAATATAGCTCATTAAATATAATCAAACAAGAACATCGTCAGGTACTGGTGATGGAGATCAATTAATTTTACAATATAAACATATTGCTAAGACCTATGAAACACAAGTTATTAAAATAATCAACTTAATAGATTCATTTTGTTTTTCTAATGAGTTATTTTTGTGTTAAGGTTGTATATGATATGTGGCATGCAGCTGAATGGATGTCAGGTGTTCTTGATTATGATTATCGTAAAAGTGATTTATTTCATGCACAACGTGCAATTGTTCTTTGTGCACGTGATTATCTTGAACGAAGTTTTCGTCAAGCATTAGAAATAACATATAATGATATAGATTTTTATGGATGTTTATTATCATTTATAACATCAAATGAAAAAATATCTCGTTTACAATCAGTTGATGATCGTCTTGTTGATGGTGTATCAGCATGGCCTTTAATTTTTTATGCATTAAGAGCTGGTGATATTAATCTTGCTTTTAATATAATTCATAAAGCAAAGTAAATAGGTTTTAAATAATAAATTCTACAAAATAAAAATTATTTATTTTCAATAGTTTACCACATGTTCAAGCTTTATTAGAAACTTATTTATCAAAAGAACAAACAACGACAACAACAACAACAACAAATAAATCTTCGAATATTCGAAATATTGAATATAGTCTTGTTGGAAATCCTTATAAACGGTTAGATTTAAAGAAAATAAAAACTTTGCTTTTGTTTTTTGGTTAAGTTGGTTCTCTACTTCACAAACACTTAATTTTCGTCAAAAAACAAAAAGTTTTTTGAGATGAATATATGGACGTATTGTCTAGTATATGAATTTATAAAAATTGTTTTGATTATTGAAGGTTTTGGAGAGTTTTATGAATGATATTTGAAACTACACGAACAAATAATGAAGTCTAGGGTTATCAATAATGTCTTTTTTTTATCGAGTTCGATCTGCAAAGTAAACAAATAATTTTCAGAAGTAACTCGACACTATGTAGATTATGTAGACCCAAATGAGCTATGAATATACTGAAAAAAGTTCATGTTTTTAGCTTATTGCTGCGGAAATACTGTACTTTTACAGTATTTTATGAAACACCATCCAAAAAGGAGTGTTGAAGGATAGGAGTGGAAATTTGGGTGCACTCTCTCTCTCTAGAGAAATAACAGACATAACCATAGCAACATCACAGACTGTGACAGGCGTTTTTTGATATACGATCAAAGATTGTATAGCAAGAACATCTCGTTCTAATATATGAACTACTTTCATTATAGCATTTCTGAAGGATTTAGTCAAAGAGGATGGTGAAGAAATGTATCCGAAAATAGACAGAATAAAACAATTATTCTAAGTTTTCTTGAAAACTATGCCTCGGATTTTCGGACTTTTGAAGTTTCGATGATCCGAAAGATAAAACAGAATAAAATTTTAAAAAACTTCGTCCTCATCCAAGGTAATAAGAAGTTCTCTATCAAATGAAAGCCATCCGAGCTCTTCAGCTTGAAATATATTAATAAAAGATTTATCCGCATAAAAGTTTTGTTTTGCAACTTGATCCTTGGAAATATTCTCAATAGTAAAGTCTGAAGGTGTGAAATTTTTTTTAAATCCTGAAAGGATTTGCACCATTACACCCGTCTTCTCGAGTTATGGTAGTTTTACTGAACTATCAATCGGATGAGTTCTCTTGTTAATTAAAAATTCTTGTATTTTGTTTTTTAGTGCAGTTATTTGTATATTAGATCGAACAAATTTAGTTGATGCACATGAAGATGTTCTATTATGTATTGAAGATTTTCTTTGGATAAAATTAGCACAAATTCAAACAATAAATGAAACAGCATTTCATGATCGTACAAATGTTCAATTAACAATTCCAAGACTTCAACGTTGGATATTACGAGATCTTGGTGAAGAATATTTTAAAGCATATGAACAACCATTTCGTTATGCACGTATTCTTTTATTATGTGGTGCATTTGAATCAGCATGTGAATTTCTTTTTAAAATATCATTAACTAAAGTACATTCAATTCATTTATCAATTTATTTTAATGAAAAATATTTACTTGGATTAACATCATCAATTGATGAATGTATGATTATGATTGCTGGAAATTCACAACAAAATAAAACTAATACAGCATTAAATTTACCAAAATTAATTGAAACATATTTAAAAGAAAAATTCATTCATAATCAAAATCGTTATTGGGAATTAATTAATTATGCATATGCATTAATTAATATTGAACATTCAGAAGCTGAAAATGAATTTCGACGTTTATTAATTGATTTAACAACGAATTTAGATGATATACATATTGTCTATGGAAAATGGATTATTGTTATAGATAATGATGGAGGAGAAGAAAATAGAATACTCAAACTGGAAAGAGGTATGACAATTAACCAGACATCACCAAAAAAATTTGACGAACGTTTCTAACTGTCTAATCAGTTGTTATTTCTGTTTGTTGCCATCCAGTAGGTCATGATGAGTAGTGAGAAAGTCTGCTCTTCACATGTCGAGTCATGGGCGTTTTACTGTATTTGTTCTCAATGAGTATAGTATTACCGAGAAATCAGAGAATGTCACGAAGCAGTTTTTTTCGTCTTGTTCTACGTAACATTTTCATTCAGTCATCTTGTTTTGTAGGACGCGGGGGAGGAGGGCGTTAAAAGGTTCGTCCTAGCAGGACAGAGAACGATTTTTTATTGCTTTGTTGACAAGGATATTAAACTTATCTGTATGTGAGATACGATGTCGAATATCATAGATCTTCTATTGATACAAAAATCATTTATAATAATTATCTTAATAAATCTTATTATATATTTTCCAGTAGAAATGATACGTAACAAATAACTATCATTAATTTTATTTTGATCAATAGTGGAATTACATAAATTTATGTTTCTTGTAAAGCTTTAGAATACTCTACATATATCAAAGTTAATAGTAAAATTGAAGAGTTAATTGATGAGGGAAACCATAGATTTTGAACTTATATTTTGAATATATAAACACTATCTCTAAACTAGAATTATCTGAAAAGAATTCGGAGTCATAGGTCTTCTCCACAATGTTACGATAGTCTTACTAACTTCTTACGATATGACGGACTATTGACAGGAAGTCTACAAGTAGATTTCATCACCTTAAGAGTATACTAAACATTTCAATTGACAAGCTTGTTTCTCTCTCAAGATATTCCACATTACAAAAAAACTTGATTTTGCTATCCGATTTATAAATTTAATCAGTTTTTGAAAATAGAATATCTCAAAAGGAAAGCAATCACGTTGACTGAAACCTATATGATATTCTTAGAATGATGAAAACTACTTAGAGACAAAATTTCACATGAAAAAAATCCTTTGTTCGAATTCCTGGTCCTATTGTAGAAATCCAATTAAACCCTTGTCACTCTGTAGAGAAAGTTTGTGAACTGGAATCCTTTTTAATTCATCCTAGCTTAGCACTCGTCTCTATTTGCTGAAAACATGAGTTCACAAATGATAAATTACTTCGTGGAGTTTTCTTCTGATTGATCCTGCAATAGATATATGGCTGTAATTATATGTGGCCAAGTGTTTGCAGTCTTACAGAGGAAGTCTTTCAACTGATCAATTCCTTTTGAACTGGAACTATGTGCGTCATGTAGATTTTAGTGAGCTATGAATATCCGAAAAAGAGCTCGAGCTAATAGCTTATTGCTGTCGTGATATTGTACTAGTAGAATATCGTGATTCTCCCTCAGAAACATCAGAAACATTGAGTTTTGAATACCAACATAAAACTTTGTACAAAGATAGGCATTAACAAGAATATCTTATTTTGAAAGTTTCAGATTTTTCGGTTGCGTCTATTCTGGAATAAGAATATCGGAATTCGCCGTTGTATATGAGCAGCGTGAAAAACATGATTTTACTATAGTCATATCTTAGAATAGAAGCAATCAAAAGATCTGTAACTTTTACAATAAACTATTTTCGTTAAGGTATGTCTCTATGTAAAGGTTCAAGTCGAAGTCCGAAAATCATTTTTTCTGAGGGTGACCATGATAGGAAGCTACAGGTCCAATTTTTTTTATTTTTTATGTTGGATTCAGGTGCAAAATTTTATTTTTTGCCGGACTCGGTTACCCGTTTTGATGGACCGGCAACTTCCTAGATGAGAGATGCAACAACAAGGTATAACTGAACGTTGAATCTTTCTTTGAGAGTAGCGAATAAATAGCTAAAACCTTGATCATACCCTTGTTCATGTGCACGGAGGGTGCCAGATATTGATGGAAAAAATCTCGGGTTGAGGCTCGATGAAGCCTAGGTCCAAATTTTTAATTTTTTTTCGGGTCCGGGTCCACAAAAACGTGGATCCACAGCTTCCTACATCATGGCATTCATTTTACTAAATATCGTAAAAATACAGTATCTCCACAGCAATAAGCTTAATAGCCAGAACACTTCAGCGTATTCATTATTCTGTAGAATCTGCATGATGTACATAGCGCCAGCTCAATAGCGATTAATCAGTTAGGAGATTTACTTCATGAGTTAGTAATAATTATTGCAAATCTACAATTCCATTTGATATCTTTGTTTAGGTCTTCTGCATGAATTATTTTCTCATCTTGATGATTCTGATATTGATGATGTATTAATTGGTCTGGCAACAACAATTGAAGAACATCATCGTTCACGTCTTCTTGTTGCATCAGCATTATTTGAATTAGCTCATGATTATTCATCTTGTATACGTCTTGCATCTGAATATATTGCACAATTAATTCTTGATCGTTTATTAATATCATCATCAACATTATCACCATTTCCATTTATTTATGAATTAGCTCAACGTCTTCAAATTTTATCAAAAATAAAGCATGATGATAATCAACAAAATTATTTTCTTTTATTAGATATTTATGCATTTGTTGATTATTATCTTCGTGTTGAACAACATGAACGAGCATTTCTAGTTTTACGTCAATTAAAATTATTTCCATATGGTAAAGATTATAATGATGATGAACAAGCTAGACAATTATTTGCATCAAATAAATGGGTAAAAATATTTATTGAAAATAAAAAAAAGAAAATTTATTTATTTATTTATTTGAATATTATTTTAGCTTCAACAATTATTTCCTCATCTTTGTTTAGCTGCACTTCGTACTCATTTATTAGTTATACAACATGGAACAAGTTCAAATTTAACTGAAGAAGAAAAACATCAATATGAATTTTATCGTCATACAGCTTCTATTGATTTAACACATCTTGCTGAATTTGCACATATGCAATCTCAATCATTTACACGAACTCAATTACGTTCTATTGATCGACTTTGTGAACAAGCAAATCAATATTATGATCAAGATATGTCATTTCATTAATTATTTAAAAAATGTAATAAATATATACATTTTTCTTTTTTGATCATCTTCATCACTATTTAATGAAAATTAGGAAAATTGTCTTTGAAACATGTCGAGTTTTTTTTTCTTTACTGAATTTTTGTTATTTCCATGTTTTTCAAATAAGACAAGAAAAATAAAATGTATAGAATGAAACGTGCAACATACGTAATCAATGCATTTTCATTATTTGAAATCAGTTTGTTGATTATCAATTTGAACAAAATCTTCAATTGAATCAATATTATATAAACTTGATTGAAGCCTTTTTTTTTTAATATTTCTTCTTACATTTTAGAGGTCTTTTTATTATTGAAAGAGATTTTCAATTTCTCTTAAAAAGTACATAGGATGAAAATGATTTTTATTTTGTTTATAAAATAGTGTAAAAAAACTAAGTCAACATTTTATCTAGCGCTAGGTCAGCAAATTGGATTTGTTCTCTCTTCTTATCAAGGCTTGCGAACTATGTGATTGTCTTTTCTATTCATCTATCATATAAAGCAATTTTCGAGCAATGAATGTTATATGGGTAAATTAATATTCAATATCTTGACTTGTGTTCAACTAATCTTTATAATTTTTTCACATTAGGCTCCTCTATTGAGTCTTTATTACTACTCAATAAAACCAGAGATTTATCTTAGATAAATCGTAAGAAGATTAAGTCTAAAAGATCGGTTTTTTGCTGTCGTCTACTGTTATAAAATGTCGTATAACCGATTTCTTTTTTTCTTGTTTAAATTTTGTAAGCTAGCAGAACTAGAGAAAAACAATCAGCACTTTTCGAATATAAGACTAATTGGCATCTTTATCACTACTGTTCAATTTTCTGTCACGCGAGATTTTTCATTTTCTTCTATCTATACTTCTCTTATGATATTAGAGTTTGAGATGAAAATTTGGTAATTTTATCAATTCATTATGATCAACCATCATTAACAATATCACCGCCAGAAAAATTTATGGTTCATGAGAAAAGAAAAAAAAATTGTATATCGTAGCACATAAAAAAAGTTCATTCTATTTATAATTTCAAGTATTTTTAACGAGTTTTGTAAACATCTCGTATTTCTCTAGTGATTCAACATATATGAGGAGAAGTCGAACTCATGATGGAATTACCCGAACGGATACGTACCATTTGAGCTCGTAGTAGATCTACAAAGATGTTTTGAAGAGACTAGCAAATGTCTAAAAGGTTTTGTCTCCATGGTCCTTTTGAGTCAAATTATGATTTCCAACAAAAATGGTCGTTTGTCACAGAATCGAGTTTACTTGAAAATTCAATATCTCGACAAGGAAACATTCTTTTTGGCTTAAACTTTTAGGATGTTCTACTAATCATATGATCTATTGATGGACAAAATTTCATAACGAAATACTGACTTTTGATTTTTCGGTATTTATCTTGAACTGGATTGAAAATTCAGTAAAATAATCATAACTCAGCTTCAAAAGTCTCTACAGACGAGCCCTTTTAGACTTTCTCTAATCTTATCAAGATCTTCTTGTGGATCCAATACAATCTCAAACGGCTGGCTAATATCAGTTCGAGTGATTTCTTACTCAAACATTTTCATGACTTTTAACGACTCTCATATATCTCGAGCATACAAAAAATGGTAGTCAGAATATTTTATTCATTTCATGCAATACAATCAACTAGACTACTTATCATCTTTCAAATCGAAAATTTTTGGTTTTTGTTTTACTGGTTTTCTTCCCAAAAATAGTACAATAATGTTGTATCATTCAGAAAAAAGAGGCATCCGATGAAATGAAAGACATTTTAAAACTTGTTTAATGATTGAAATATTTGCAAAACTTGTAAATATATTTAACAACAATGACTGAATAATGGCTAACATCATTATTACATATAATTAGCAGTTTGTTTTTTCTTTGCTTTAATTCAACAAAAATATTCATTTTGAACGATGCTAAAAATAATATATAAAGGTGAATAAGTACAAAAAGCAAAGAAAAAAAAAAGATGTGTGATACAAAGAAAATAAAACGAGTATCGATAAACATCGATTTATTATTGTTTACCGTCCAACACAAAAAATCACGTGTTTTATATATATACATATCATTTTAAATAAATATTGTACCTTTTATCGTAATGATAGAAGATAAAAGAAACAAAAAAAAGAACAAATCTTTTCTCACACTCTATGATTTAGTTTATATGAATGAGTGACTATTTTTTGATTGATTCATTTGAATAGACTCATTGACTTCTCTCAATTATTGATTTAATTATATTAAAATGGAGAATAATGATACTAATGCGACCAATATTGATGATAGTAGTTCTATTTCAACAGTTCATATTTATCAAATAGTTCTTGGTTGTTTGACATTTTTTCTTGTTTTACCATTTGTTTTAATTCCTTTCAATCGTTATCCATTGGGTAGTACTGGAGCTGTCTTAGTTGGTGCTTTTCTTATGGTTGTTACAACTGTTGTTGATCAATCAGATGTTTATAAAGTTATTGGTGATGTTAATAATTTAAAAACAATATTTCTTCTATGGGGTATGATGATTATATCATCATATTTTGAACGTGAACGTTTAATTGATCATTTATTAAATAAACTCTTTCCATTTGAATGCTCATTCTATTGTTGGCTTTTTCGTTTAAGTATAGTTGATTCATTTCTTGCTGCTTTATTCACCAACGATGTTGCTTGTGTAATACTCACACCATTAGTACTTAGCAAATGGATTGATCAAAAACGAAATAAAAATGAACTGAATACTTTACTCTTAGCTTTAGCTACTCAGGCAAATATTGGTAAGTTCGACAGCACCTTTTTTTTTTGATGACTTTATCATTTAGAATACCGATTATTAATAAAAATCAATAGGAGAAGAATTTTACTAACGATGGAAGATTCTCAAGTATGAATCTGCGTTTTCTATTAGCTTCATGTTAGTTTGTAGAGTTCAATGAACTAATCCATAATAACGTAAATTGTTCTTCTTCATAAACTCATTTCAATGTCAGAAACATGATTGTAAGCTGCTATCTTGGAAATTTCTAATTTTTATGTTAGTCTTAGTTCTAACGATGAAACATTTCTAAGTGTCAAATCGATTTTGAATCTGAACTATGTGCATCATGTAGTTTCTAATGAGCTATGAATACCCTGAAAAGACTTCGAGCTGATAGTCTATTACTACCGAGATACTGTATTTTTACCAGAGTACTGTACCTCCTCCCCCTTCAGAAACACAAGGAAAACTAAGTTTCGAATTTCGACTTGAAACTTTGCATAGAGATAGCCATTTACGAGAATAGCTTAGTTTGAAAGTTTCAGATATTTCGATTGGATCTATTTTGAGATAAGAACATCGGAATTTGTCGTTATATATAAGCAGCGTGAAAAACATGCTTTTATCATAGCCATATTTTAGAATAGAAGTAATCAGAAGATCTGAAAATTTTACAATAAGCTATTCTCATTAGGTCTCTCTTTATACAAAGCTTCAAGTCGAAATTCGAAACTCAGTTTTCCTTGTGTTGCTGAAGGAGATTGTAGCATTCTGATAAAAAAAAATACAGTATCTCGATCGTAATAGACTATTAGCTCGAAGTCTTTTCAGGGTACTCATAACTCACTAGAACCTACATGATGCAAATACCTCTGATTCAAAAGCGATTTGACACTTATAAACGTTCCCTCGTATGCATTCAAAGTTTTAACACTGGATGCATCTTAATTGACTGTAGACATTTACACAATCTACATAAATAAAAGTCCTATGTACGTCTAAATTTTGAATAATTCAATACTATTAATAGAGTGGGTGTACAGAATTGATCTAATTTGAATTGTATGTTGATTTATTTATGACATAAATTAAACAGTCATTTTTTCTGGCATTGAGATCGATCTAACTCCTTAACGACAGTCTATGAGGAAGGATGCATCATTTCATCGTGAACAGCTCATCGAACTCTACAATCTAGCGTGAAGTCAATTGAAAAACAAAGACTCATACTTGGGAAACTTTCATTGTAGAACTTTTGTTCTTATTATCAATTTAACGTATATTGGATAAGAATTTTGTTGAAGTTTTACAAAAAAAGCTCATTTAAATTTTGTTTTTTTTTGATATTACAGGGACCTGTTTTGATCAAGAATAAGTTTAGAAGAATTCGTTTGAAAATTTTTCCATAATATAGGCATCATTTCATCTTGTTAAATAAATTGAACAATTTAAGTGTTCGTTTTGCATATTACCATTTTAATCGACATTAGATCATGATTATTATTTTTTGTTCTTATTATACATTTAGGAAGCACACTAACGATTTTCGGCAATCCTCAAATGGCTTTAATAGCATCTAAATCAAATGCTTTTGTTGATCGTCATAGTCGATTTGAATTAAAAACATGTGTCGAATATTTATGGATACCAACTTTTATTGTTTGGTTATTCAATTTAATTTTTCTTCTAATACATTATCATTTAAATCAATGTCAATCAAATCAAACATCATGCGAAGATGAACCAGAGGAAACAGCCGTTGTTGAGCAATCAGTGAAACAAGAACAACCATCAATCTTTATGACCACAAGCACAATAGAATTACCTCGATTCACTGAACGTTTTCGACTAAGACGACTAGAAGGCACATGCGAACAAAGACCATCTATATTATTTAAAAAATCCCCATTAATGATTGATCGAAGCGTTTCAGTTGCTTCATTTCCTAGTTTAGACGAAGAGATTAGTGAAAATGACAATACTTTTCAACCATCTCAATCTCGATTTTTTAAAGTTATTCTTTCCATACTACTTATAACTGTGATTGCATTATTATTTGCTTCAAATGACAAAGTTAATTTTGATATCGGTATGTTGTTTGAATACTAAGTGTAAATAGTCAGACAAGACGCCTAAAAATAAAATAACTAATACTTAAGGCATAAGTTTTTTTTTCACGATTAGTTCTTATCAA